GGATAGAGTTAGCTTTAGAACACGAAGCAAAATATCTTGTAAGAAAGTTGTAGAAGAAATACTATAAATATTAAACTTATCACATTGTTTATTGCAGCAAGATATAAACAAATACAAGCAGATGAACCCTGACTTTGAGCCTCCACCGTTTAAGTCTATTTTAACTAAAGAAGAAAGAGCTCTCAAAGAACGGCTGTTAGATGGAAAACCTGTCAAACCTCCTAATTCTGCTTACAGTTTATTTTCTACAAAGATGCTACAAAGTGAAGAAATAAAAAGTTGTCCATTGAAAGACAGAATGAATTACATTTCAGGTTTATGGAAGAATATGAGTGAGATGGAGAAGAAAGAATATATTGATCAGACAAAACAGGTATTTCATACTGTATTTTCAACCTGTAAAATATATCTTCTAATATGATGTTTAACCTACAGTTAATAGAACAATACAAGTTAGATTATGCAAGTTATATTAAAGCACTTCCCAAAGAAAAGCGCCAAGAAGAATTGAAGACCCTGTCAAAAAGAAAACAGAAATCCATGAGTGAAATCAATAATCATACTCCAAAGAAAAAACGAAAAGAGAAAGCGGTAAAAGTAGAGGTGAAAGAAGAAGAAGAAGAAGAAGAGGTGCAAGAAGAAGTCAGTTTAAGTGAACAGCCTTTGGAAAATGATAATGAAGTTGAGGAATCATTGATGGCTAAAATCGTCGCATTAGAACCTGAACAGCCTCCCTTGTAAGTAAAACGGTACCCATACAGAAATAGACATAATTCATTTCTGCTTAATATATTTCAATTTGTCAGGAATGCATTTGGTTTGTTTCTTAAAAATTATTCTGGAAAAAAGCCGGCAAAAGACGAATTTAATAAACTAAGCCGAGCAGAAAAACGTAAATTGGAAAAAGAAGTGCAAAATTTGAAGAAAGCTTATATCAAAGACTATGAAGAATTTCTGAATGGTTTAACAAAGAAGCAGTTAAAAACGTTTTCAAAGTGGTCAAAAAAGAGGGATGAGAATAAAAAAGATCCTGAAATAAGTAAAATGGGAAAAGCTGAAGTAGGATACTGAATAGATCATCATTTTCTTGTAATATTTACATTACTTATTTTTAGGCCGAAGTATCATCATCTTCTGATTCAGAATCAGATTCGTCTAGTTCATCTTAATTTCTTTACATATTAGTTTGGTGAAAATAGGGACATCACCTATACCTCCATTCATTTTATAAATTTGACAAAAAGGGGTAATGAATGTATTAATCTAAAAAAACTTAATCGATTGCCAGTGAAAGTGACAGTGGTATAATAATTTTTTTAGACATATTCTATTTAAAAATGTTATTTCCAAATGTGTTCGTTACAAAAATTATGTTGAAGTTGTCCAAATTTATTACTTTTAAAAGAAGTATTAATGCGCTTATTCATGTATAAAGATCTGAACAATGGTGAACCTGAATACATATAATTATATCAGCAAAATACATTATCTTGTTTCAGAATTATAGATTTACCATCATTAGTTCATTTGCCTTAAGCAAATGTAATTAATTTATTTGAGTATCAACTTGATTAATTGGTAATAGAAGTATTTCTTATTCTTATATTAGTAAGAGTGTAATTTTTAAATTAGTGCTTTGTGGTACTTCACAATTTTTTGTATGATTCATTATTCTTATCAATTATTTATTGATGTACCTAATTTGGAAAATATTATCCCTAATTTACTGAAATTGTAATGCATTGTGAACTGATAAGTTTTCTGTTTTATAGATTTTTTTAATAAAAAAACTTTCCAACCATTACATTTAGTTTACCTATTTAAACAAAAAATATTTCTTATTCTTTACATTATCGATAGTAAAAGCCGGTATTACTACGAAAGCACTTGGTAAAAGGAAATAGTAACAACATAAATTATCTATCGAATTTTGAGCTCGAAATCCATATTCCGAATTCAAATATTGACTTTTCGCTTAAATTATGTAAGAAAAGCTGAAATATTAAATTAGTATAAATATATTTGTTTCGGAATAATGCCTCTATCGGTCTTATAACAATATTGGAGAAAAGCTAATTATATATCTTTGAAATGGACATTTTGAAATAATAAATTGCATCAAGGGATTATGCAGTACAGTACATTCTAAAAATTTTGAACTCCGATTTAATCATACAATATATTGAAAAAAAAAGCAATGAAGCCGTTACAATATATACAGATTTTATTATGAAAAAACCAAAATCATCAAAGAAAGATAGGTAATAGACTAAAGAGGATTTATTATTTGCGTAGATCAATGTATGGGAGATAACAGTTCTTCGCTTTTTGTATTATAATTACGACAGAAGTCTATTTCTAATTAATATTGATCAAACTTTAAAAAATACTGCATGCAGTTTTTACAAGAATGTCAGAAAATAAGCCCATTTTTCGATGTTAGTGCAACACCTCCACTGCATGTAAGAAGTGAAAAGTGTAAAGCAATTTTCAGGCATAGCGTGATAGAAATTAAATTGAAGTGTCTACTCTAATCACCCATTGGCACTAATAACGTACAGTTTTCTAAAATGGTGAAGTACCTGACTGTTTATTATCGCAACATCAATTTCTGTACCTTACACTACCATTTTCTAACTAATTTTCCATTATATATTCTAATTATCATTTATAATTATCTCATGTATTTAATTTAATGTATAGTAAAAACACTTATTTTAAATGAAATTAGATATACAAAGTTTATCTCTGTTTCGAAAAATAACAAGCAGCTTTTTTATATTTAGACATTCATAGTAATATTCTTTTCTTTAAATTACCATATCAAGGCCTCATGAAATAGTTTTGAGTATTTCTTTTTTGATGTAAAACTTTTTATATTACTGTATTTTTTAAAACGCTTCTGTTACCAAATATAATATATACAGGGCGATCGAATAAATGCGATAAGCGAGATGCTAAATTTTTTAAAATATAGTTTTTTACATTTTATATTGCAATTACACGTTTATGTTTGTTTTTTCTATTAATAGTAAATATCTGTTCCTTTTTAATCAGATGTTGGAATTGGACTTGTGGTAACTAGTAAACCTAATCAACTACAATAATGTCAGGTAAAAGGATTGTACATTATTATTAAATCCAAAATTAAACATTGTTTTTATTATTTTTGGATCTGTTTCTTTTGCCCGTACCTTTACAGTGCTTATGTTAAAATTTATCGAGTAAATTTCTAACAAATAAACTACCTAGTAGTTAAATAACGTGGAAAGTTCACTATCGCATCTATTTAAAATTCTCTACAAAACAGATGCCATTTCTGATAACATTTCACACGATTTCACTTACTTTGAAATTCTGCTAAAGCTCACTAGGTCAGCAGCTTTCAAGCAACGCTTTTAACACGAAAGCTCAAACCAAAAATAGCCAGTAATTATTTAGTCATGGAGCTTTATTCTGTTGCTTGCGATCCATTAGACCACACTAGTATATATCGTCGCCTGGAAGAAGGTTTCACAAAAATCATTTACCTACTTCAACTGAATTTTTAATTTATTTAATCCTCAAAATTCTTTAACTTCGTATTGTATTTTATTTTTACAGATAGTGAAGATAGCGATGGGGAAGCTGGTCTTGGGAATGTCAATAGGGCAATCATGAGACCTCCGGGTCATAGTGGTAAAGCTAAAAGAGGACATTTATGTTTTGATGCTTCTTTTGAAACAGGGAATCTTGGAAGAGTGGATTTAGTTAATGAATTTGAATATGACTTATTTTTGCGCCCCGATACATGCAATCCGCGGTTCCGATTTTGGTTTAATTTTACTGTCGAAAATGTTAAACAGGACCAAGTACAGACACAAATCACATTAAAGTAATAGTTTAATCAAAAATATATTATTATATTTCAGAGAGTTATCTTTAATATAGTGAATATGAGTAAGTGTAGAACGCTTTTAAGCGAAGGAATGACGCCTTTGGTTAAATCCTCAACGCGGCAAAAATGGTAAACCCAAATTTTATACCAATAACAGGAAACAAAAGATTTTCTTTTAGGCAGAGAATACCAAAGCGTTATGTATTTTACCATCGTTCGCCTTATCACCGAGGGAATTATATTTTGAGTTTTGCGTTTGGTTTTGACGAAGATGAAATATTCCAATTTGCTCTAACAGCTCCTTACAGCTATTCAAGACTTCAATCATACTTAACAAACTTGGAATGCAGATTACCAAAATCGAACGAATTTTTTCACAGAGAGCTTCTTGCACAAAGTATTGTACGGTATTATAACTAATTTGCAACCACAATTTTTTTAATTGATAACACATTCTAGCAAAAGCGACGCCTAGATTTAATAACCATCGGCCAAAAACCAAAGTCGCAAGAAAAACAGAGGGTAGTAGCAATAATGGCTAGAGTTCATCCTGGAGAAACTCCTGCAAGTTACATTTGTCAAGGTTACTATAACATACACGTAACTATCCAGATAAAATACACGCATTCTTGTAACCAATCCTTCTCTATTCATAACATCCACGAAAACATTATATATATTCAATTTTCATTACAGGGTTAATGGAAATATTGGTTAGCGCACACCCTCTTGCAAGTATACTACGCGAAAATGTAGTTTTCAAAATTGTGCCGATGTTAAATCCTGATGGCGTTTTCGTAGGTAATTTTAGAAGTTCTTATATGGGGTTCGATTTAAACAGATCTTGGCATTTAGCAACTCCTTGGTGTCATCCAACCATTAGAGCCGTCCTAGATATGCTTCTTGATATCGATAAAAGTGATGTAGGGCGCAAAACATTAATTCTATTACCAATATCATTATTCATATTACTTTCAGAACTTCCAGCTAGATTTGGTGCTAGATCTTCACGCGCACACAAGTTTGAAAGGGTGTTTTATATATGGAAACTCTTATGAAGACGTTTACAGGTACAAATATTGAAACAAATTTTTCAATGCATAACACATATTTCCAGGTTCGAAAGACATATCGTCTTCCCTAAAATTCTAGCGTCACTTTGTGACGATTACATGTCATCAAATACAATGTTTAATTCGGACATTAATAAAATTGGTACATCCCGAAGATTTCTTTGTTCGGTATTGAGTGAAAGAGTAAACTGTTACACATTTGAGGTATCTGTTTATGGTTACTCCTTAAAAGGATCTGATATAACAATCCCTTACACGGAAGAAAGTTGTATCCTTCAATCAATTACGAACAATGACTGAAATTAATGAATAAAATTTTGTTAGTAGTACAATTAATTTCCCTTAACATTAGATATGAGATGTGGAAGAAATTTGGCAAGAACCTTTCTGGAGTACTACAGGGCAACTGGTTTAATACCGCTTCATGTACCAACTCAAATATCCGACAAAAAGAGGAAAAAATTCAAAAGATTCAAATGTAAATCCAGAGAAACTTCCAATTCAACCCGCGAAACAGTTCGTAACCAAGCCACTTTAAAATACACAGATTTACAATTAAATTACGACAGCGAAACTTCAATAGAAGACATATGTTCCAGCATAAAAAATTTTTTTAGTAGTCCAGCAAGAAATGATCAACAAAAATATGCTCAAAGGATACACAGCGTAAAAAAATCTGCAAATTCTGTGAAATTTATAAATCAAAACACGTCTTCTCCACCTCCACAACCACCAGCCCCCACACTTATTTGCATACCTCAACCGAGTTTGTCAATAATCGATTTCAATTCCATAATTAGGGACAGTTTTGAGGAAAAGATATAAAAACTAAAAAAAAAATATTCGCTAAAGAAATTTAATTATTTAAAGTTCTGACATAGGACAGACGATTAATATTGGAAAAAAACCATAAAAATTACATAACTTTTCTCTCCTTTTTTGTCATAATAAACGATTTTAGAAATACTCGCTTCTTTTAATAATAATTTTAAATAAATCATTATTACAAAGTTAAGCTATTAGCTGGAAAAAACAAACTCACCTGAAAATACACAATTAATGAAAAAGTACTAAACATGAAAAAATGAAAAAATCAACGTTTAAAAATAAATAGCAACTAATTAAACATAAATCAAAATAAAATAACAACTTTTCCTACATTAACGTTAACAAGCACTGCAGTAAGTATATTTTATGATCTTAATACCTTACTTCTAAAATTTAAAATCGTGCTCATTGGGTATCATATTATTGTGTCTCATTCTTAATAATATGCCCGTTAAATATAATGCAGTACTTCTTCGAACGTTAATAAAGAAAATATTAATTTTTAATACAACATACACATCACTCTGTTGTTTTTTTCGTTGCATTTTATTTCCCTTTCTTTTATTAAAGGGTAAATTAAAAAAGAATTCATTATTTCTAGTTGTTTCTAAAACAGAAAAATGAATTTTAAAAGCACAGCTATCGCGATAATGTGAACTATGTATAACGGAAACCCCACATAATATGGTCAGCATATTATTTATGCTTCTTTATTACATAATAAACCTAACGACTTCGACTGCATAAAAAAACAAGTAACCTCGATCTATACAGTTCACCGCTTCGAAAATTAGCCCGTATCTTTTTTAAGGACAGTCTATGTCTTAATTTCATACAAATGAATTTCAAAAATCGATAATGTAAACAGCTATTGTCTACTTGGGTTCATACTATCGCGATTGTACTGTACAAAACAAGAAGTAATAACATCGTTCTACCTCTTTAAAATGGTATGAACGTTATCTTGAACTCTTCTATTTTTTAAAACTCGTCAATCATGAAATAAACTTGGTCAGAACCATAAATTTTTTTTCTATATACATCGCAGTCGAAAGACTTAAAAAACTAAATTAATCTGTAATGGAAGATTGTTAAATTAATATCTATGTAAAAATAAACATCGAATTTGGCACGATAACTAATTGAAGCACTTATTCTTTTTCGGAAAGTTCTTGGTAACGAGCATACATCNAAAAAAACTCAAATGACTCAAATTTTTATAGACTGAAGTCACAAAAATTATTGCACAAATGTACAAGTCCATATCTTCAGAAAAGAGGCAAAAATACAACAAACTTGCTGCTGAACAAAAAAAACAGTATGAAGAAAAATTACAAGAGTTTTAGTACGTATATTTTTTCTCAAATATTGACCAAAATATTATTTTGTTTTTGCTTTAGCAACCAACATCCTGAAGTGCCAAGACTTGTTAACTAAAAAGCACATTAGCAAAAAGCTTTACCGAAAATTTGAATCGATTTTTATTAAAAAATTCATATTAGAATATATACAACTAGACAAGCACCCTAATACTACTACTACTAGTACACTGAGATAGATATCCGGTCACATGACATGTATCCTGCTATTGCTACTTCCTTTCTCGTCGCCCCTAAAGGATGTTCCTAACTGGGAAATGAGTTCTACAACGCAACTCGATCATATATTTATATTTAAATACTAATATGATATTCTTTTTTGACACTGACTCATTATCTTTAAGTCACCATTTAGTCTCACGATACATTCTTTTAATTATCCAATTAATATTTATTTAAATTGATTGCATAAAACATCATCAATAATATTACGTACATAAATATTTCGAATATACAATGAAAAGAAAACAATTATTCTGCATAAACTATAAAATTCTTGTTTTAAATACAACATGTTGTTCTCAGATAAATGTTAAAAAACATAAGAAACTGCTTAATTTTAATTCCTCCCTACTTTAGAGCACTGTATCAATGTATTTATTCCTAATAACTTATAGTTTTGCTTAGAAGAAATTGTTACTCTGCCTCTTATTTGAAAACACAGTATTTACGATTTTGAAAATCGTATGACTAACATTTTATGCAATTTATTATTTTGTGAATCTTATTCTAATATCTACTTTTTGAACAAATAACTTCCTTTGGTATATTATTAGTTACTTGCAGTTCTTTTTTCTACATAATATATTCATACAAGAAATAAAGCTGTTTTAAATTAATAACCATATGAAATAAATGAAGATAAAAGAATGATGAATATTTAAAATTCGTAGCAAACGGTAACTGATCAGTGGAATCATTAAAATGAGAAAGCCTATCAAATTCGCTGACATCTATGATTTACGCCGACAATGAACGCATCTTTTAAAACGCGGACCGCGGACCATAGATTACGCGGACTGTTAGGATTATTTGTTGAACTAATTGTTGTTTACATATATTATGTCTTAATTATGTATATTTTTATTCATTTACAAATTATAAAACATGGTTTAAAATAATTATTTTCAACAGAACAATTTAATTTTAAGTGATTTTTAATAATTTTTGTTTGTTGGCGGTATTGAGTTTCACAAGAGGCAACAGAGGTAATATGAAGCATGTATATAGTACTAATTTTTATTAATTCGCTTATTCCTATTTTGACTGTATGAAATATAAATTGTTACTTTGATATGGTATTTATCAATTAAAAATAATACAATGCAAGTTTAGAGTTGTAAATGAATAAATAGTATAATTGGGGAGTTTATAATTCAAACATAACCTCAGCATAAATTGCTTTAATCGGTTTCAAGAACACTTTGTAGAGTTGCTTTTCTATTTGTTATGAATAGAGTGTAAGAAACTAATGGTTTTAACCTTCGGAACTGAATATTATCGTTTTAGAACTCTGCTGAAGTTGATGACCAAGATATGGGTTCTAAACGTAAGGATAGATCTGAAAAAACAGATGAAGGGGAAAAAAAGAAAAAACATAAAAAGGTCAAAATAAAAGAAGAAACCGCTAGTGATATTGAAATTGAAGACTCCAAAGTTAAAGAGTCAGATCACATAAATGTTTTCAAAGAAGAGCCAATAGAACATGTCGACCATGAAGATAGTTAGTACACAAAAGTGTGAAATAAATGTTATTTATTAATATTTTTACAGATGAAACTATTAATATGCGTGAAGAGGATCTATCAGAGCTTTTTACTAAAATAGAACAAGTTCT